AAGTTTTCCTTTAAAAAAAAAAGGTGATATAAAATATTTTATCCTAAAATAACAGTTTTTTTTTAATATCAGAAAACCAAAGCATATGCATTTTTAATTCAGTTGTTTTGTGGGTTTAAAGAGTTCTTTAAAAAGAAATTCTGCTTTGCATGAGTAATTCTATGCAAAAAGAGTATTGTAGAAGATTTTGTAGGCTTTGTTCAGAATTAAGGTTTTAATTTGGCCTCCTAGTAAACTCTCTGTATGTGTGCTGAGATATATTTCTCAATGCATCCATAATAACTCTAGTTGCTCTTATCTTCATCTCCACATTCTACTTAGATTTTTTTTTATGCTAAAATTTGAATTTTCAAAAAGGCATTTTCTTGACCTAGCTGGTCCTGTATTAAGGCTTTTACCAAACTCAATGTTTTGGTAAATACACTGGATGCATTAAGACACCTTACTCCTGTCACTCCTGTCTGACTTAATAGCTGGTAAAAAGCTACTGTATAAAGTCTTAATGCAAGAATCTGTGTTCCAAACTGTCTGCTGTTAATATAATTTTTTTCTCCTCACTGTCACTGTATTTTCGGTGCTGATGTACATTGTTTTATTTCTAATGCAGAATAAAAGAGCACGTCCTTCTGTCTTTCAGGCGTTAAAGTTCCTATGACAAGTCCTACAAACATCCATTTTATACATATACTAGCACTGACAGAAAGACTAAAAATAGTAAACTTTAAATTTAATGAATTAACTAATTAGTTAATTAATTAAAAAAGGACCAGAAGGAGGACCCAGGAAACTACAGGCCTGTCAGCCTGACCTTGGTGCCTCGCAAGGTTATAGAGCAGATCATCCTACATGCAATCACACGGCACCTACAGGATGGACAAGGGATCAGAGCCAGCCAGCATGAGTTTAGGAAGGGCAGGTCCTGTCTGACCAACCTGATCTCCTTTTATGATCAGGTGACCCACCTGGTGTATGAGGGGAAGGCTGTGGATGTGTCTATCTGGACTTCAGCAAAGCATTTGACACTGTCTCCCATAATATACTCCTGAAAAAGCTGGCAGCCCATGGCTTGGACAGGGACACTCCGTACTGTGTTAAGAACTGGCTGGAGGGCCGGGCCCAGAGAGTGCTGGTGAACGGGGCTGCATCCAGCTGGTGGCCGGTCACCAGTGGTGTCCCCCAGGGATCAGTGCTGGGCCCAGTTCATGTTTAATATCTTTATTGATGATCTGGATGAGGGGATTGAATGTACTATTAGCAAATTTGCAGATGACACCAAGCTGGGAGGGAGTGTCGGCCTGCTGGAAGGCAGGAGGGCTCTTCAGAGGGACCTGGACAAGCTGGAGAGATGGTCTGATTCCAATGGGATGAGGTTCAACAAGACCAAGTGCCGGGTCCTGCACTTTGGCCACAACAACCCCTGCAGCGCTACAGGCTGGGGACAGAGTGGCTGGAGAGCAGCCAGGCAGAAAGGGACCTGGGAGTCTGGATTGACAGGAGGCTGAACATGAGCCAGCAGTGTGCCCAGGTGGCCAAGAAGGCCGATGGCATCCTGGTCTGGATCAGGAACAGTGTGGCCAGCAGGACGCAGGGAAGTGATCCTTCCCCTGTACTCAGAGCTGGTGAGACCTCACCTTGAGAACTGTGTCCAGTTCTGGGCCCCTCAGTTCAGGAAGGATATTGAGGTGCTGGAACAGGTCCAGAGAAGAGCAACCAGGCTGGTGAAGGAAGGACCTGAACACAAGTCCTGTGAGGAGAGGCTGAGGGAACTGGGGTTGTTTAGTCTGGAGAAGAGAAGGCTCAGGGGTGACCTCACCACTCTCTACAACTCCCTGAGAGGAGATTGTAGCCAGGTGGGGGTCGGTCTCCTCTCCCAGGCAGCTATCAGTACGACAAGAGGGCATGGTCTCATGCTCTACCAGGGAGGTTTAGGTTGGATATCAGGGAGAAATTCTTTACAGAGAGGGTAATCAAACATTGGAATGGGCTAGCCAGAGCAGTGGTGGATTCACCATCCCTGGCCGTTTTTAAAATGAGACCGGACATGACACTTAGTGCCATGGTCTAGTAACCACAGCGGTGTTGGATCAAGGGTTGGACTTGATGATCTCGAAGTTCTTTTTCAACCCAGTTGATTCAAATTGGTAGCCTTGGAGTCTTTTGTTAATTATGACTGAAATGTTGGCCAGTAATTGATTTCTAGAGAAAACTCTTACAGTTAGAGTCAATTATTATGTTAATCTTCAGTTTAATAGAGAATTACAAAGAAATTGCTTCATATATGTTTAGCTCATTAGAATTCCACTGTCATCATCTGTATGCATTTCACTTTCATAACACTTTATGAGATCATGGACTTTGTGGAAAAGTCAACTCCTTTAAGAGGGAAAAGTACTCAGTTTGGGGTATTTTGAGTTGTTCTGTTTGGGATTTTTAGTCACTTAATTTTGATCTACATATGGCTAACCTCAAATTATTAAATATTTTACATTAAAAAATAACAGGTAAATCTTGAATAGCTCAAAAGAGCCTTGCCATTAACTTTTAAGGGTTTTGACTTCATTACTAATTTACACATGCTAAATACATACACTTTTTTATATATATTCATTGTATCTATATTCAATGGTAGTTAACTATAAAAAAAGGGAAAAAGACCAGATGATGATGGTTGTTTTATAATATATGAAGTAGGTGCTGTTTTTACGGAAAAAAACAAAAGTATGTTCTCATGAACTGTGTTATTTTTCATGTAAAAGTGGTGACGTGTCTCTACCCATTGCTCAGAAAATACTGAATGATTGATTTAGGATGTAAACTAAAATTTTCTTAGCTGTTGCAGTATGAGGCCTATTTGTTTCCTCTCTGTTGTTTAAACTGTGACTTGTCAAGTTGGCTAATATGCAGTGGTTTGGTTTGGTTTGGTTTGGTTTGGTTTTGTCTGGGGTTTTTTTGCAACATTCACTGAAAGACAGCTAAGCCTGGACTTCTGATCTTATATTTTTATGTATTCAATTGTTGTAGATAGCCAGGGGTGATCGCACAATTGCAAGTGTATGGGAAGCTTATTCCAAAGGCAGAAATGAAAAGGAATAGTGCTTTGTTGTAGTGTTAATGAGTAGAGATGAGGGTCTTTATCACAGAGCTGTCTGAGAACTTGTTCAAAGTCACTGAAGGAAGTGGCATAAGGAGGCTTTTAAATTTATATGGCAAAATGCAATTCTGTTGTAAAGAAAACACTGTTGATGTGTTGTGTAAGTAAAAAACACAAATCTATATGTAATGTTTATCACAATGAAAATGCAGTATATTCTGTTTCTCTAGTATTTGTGAAAAACTTCCAAACCGGTTCCATTATTTGCCAATAATGAATATTTGTAAAGTACTCCAGGGTAATTATTTGTGCATAGTTCATTTTAGTATTCACCATTTGTGGCTGAGCAATTAGATGCTTACCTACTGGGGGAATCTAATTTAAAAAATGCTTTACTGAGTCAGAGCTCAACTAGTATAACCTTTTTAATTGGAAAATAATAGATAATAAGTTATGAATGCTGCTTAATGCCACCTTATAATTACTGAATAAAATGTAAGGATATGTAAATGTCATTCTAATTGAATATCAATCTCTGAAATCTTTTTAAATGCCAAATATTATGATCTTAGAACACCAACTAGCAAAATTATTCATTCAAAAATCTCCATCATTGTGGAGATGATTATAATACTAATCTGCACAAAGTAATTAATTTCATTCCCAGCCCTTTCAAAATCCTTTATAAAATGCCATATTTGTAACTCAGAAATGCTTATTTTACTATAACTCTAAGTATTTTTATTAGTATTGCAATGAAGAAAACTTTAAAATCATGCAGAAGTTTTAGATTATACCAAAAATCTTTTTAAAATAATTAAAAATACAATTTTCAACTTAATTTTATTAATACTTTCAGTCTCTTCTAGGCCATTCTTGTGTTAATTTTTTTTATTTTAAAAAAAATATCCAGATGCAAAACTTTCATGTCAACAAAGGTTTAAGTGTGAGGCAGCATTGAGGTATATGAAACAGCAATGAGAGTAAAGTAAAAATTCCTTGGAAGAAACAAATGAAAAAAAAATATTTGAAGATTTCATAGGGCACAAGGGTGTAGTCTTGAAAATGACTGGTAAGGTGAGGTGAGGAAAGCCTGGAGAAGAGATCTCTACTCAGGCTGAAGGCAAAGGGCTTTTTACTATTAGCTGTCAGTGGTGAATATCAGCAAGCTGTTTCATATTACATCAGCAGCAGAAGCTTTTTCATGTCTTTTCAGAATCTATAATATACCTAAGACAGCAAGCTTTAAAAGTACATAGAAAGAGTTAACTGACTTTGTACCTTAAGACTTATTCAGAAGTTTAAACAGAATTTCTGGTTCTGTTAATAAAACAGATTTTTTTTCTTTCTAATCTGAAAGGTGATCAGAGAATTGTATATAGAGCACTGTCTAGCAAGCGTCAGTGCTAGCTGAGGAGTGTATTAGACTATTAGTTTTTATTATCAAATTGCATTAACTAACATTAACATAGTGCTGTGCTGGCATGTCACCAGAGTTTGCAAATGAAAATACGTTGTAAAATAGAAAGATTGTCTACAGAGTTTAAATCAGATGGAGAGGTCAAGTAGACAGAATGCTTTTTCATAATTAGGTTGCAGTGACAAAACATTTAGGCACTGTTGCCTGCACATTTGCTGAAAGTGATGTTGGAAGTCATTAATAACTCAGGTCTGAGCAGTTTGCCAGAAGTTTGGAATAGTCAGATTTGGCTTTATTTGTTCTGTGTTGCATTTTGTAAGAGATGGTTTTCAAGAATACGGTATTTATGTAGTAATATAAAGCAGTAGCAGTGTTGCCAGTTAAGTGTCTTCCCACACACACATACAAAAAAAAACCTCTGCATAAAATATTTTATATGGTAAATTACAATGATGGTTGTTCTCTTAAAAATACCTTTTCTTTTTCCAGTCTAAAACATATATGTGCAGTTGGCAAGGGGATACTCTGTGTTTCACAGTTGACTTTGCTCTGGGATTTACCTGTTTTGACAGTAAAACAAAGGTAAGAGGAAAAGAAAAGGAAAAAAAAAAAAACACCTTGGTATTATTTTACTGTTATTGAAGTTATCAGTACATTTTTATGTTGATGTCCAGTATTTATCCCTCACATGTACTGTTCTACTTATTTATTTAGCACTACTGAAATGTAGTCAGTTTGGGACTTGAAAGGAGTATTTATAGTTGTGCCTTGGCATATAAAGATAAATTTTGGAGAAAGATATAAAAAATTAATTTCCTTTTCAAGCAATAAAAGCAAAAGAAGGTTATATTTAGCAGAGAACTTGGTTTGTTGTAATGAAGAAACTTCAAAATTAGTAAAAGATTACAAATCATGAAAGAAATGAAATGTCACCTGATTCTATTTGTTTTGAAGCTACAGATATAAAAAGGATTAATGCTTGTTCTATCATAAGAAATTTAGGCCATGCCTAAAATAAGCAGAACAAAAGCAAATGTATTTGAGAGTCAGAATCTAAAAGGTTAAATGAACTTATCTTGCAAAACAATGGCTATATAGAAAGTACCTACAGGGCATGGTTTATGATACATGCCAACTTCCAAGTCCTGTCTATAATGCTACTATTTTATATATAATTTATTGATATTTTAAGTTATTCTAAATGGATTTTACATTTGTTTGAAGTAGGAGTAAACATACATACAGATAATGTTTCTGCATTAATAGAACTGTGCAGTAGAAGGTCTGTCCTTTCAAATATGGTCTTCAATTCCCAACTGAAAGGATTTTTCAAGTATATATTTAAAAAATTGAGTCAGTCATTCTGAGTTAAGAGGGAACACAATGCATTTTGAAATACTAACATAGGATCTACTTTTTGCATGTTTGTATTTTGTGGGTTTGGGGCCAAAATGCACAATTTCTATTTCAATTTCTATTTCAATTTCTATTGAAATCTTTGTGCAGAGAAATAAGATTGCATGCAAATTTAGACTAATTTCATTAATGTGCTATCCTATGAAGTAGCATAAAATTTCACAAAATACATAGACATACCCTTCCCTACCTTGGGTGATACTGCATTTTGAAATTGTGCTTCTTGCACAATTACACACATTTTTCATGTAGCCACAAATTAACTATAAAAAGTAATCACTCTGTAGATTCTATAGAATGTTTCTTTTTAATGTGAACACTTTTTAATGTGAACACAGATACTCCCACCTTTAAAATTATAAACTCACTCTATTGATAGGACTTTCTGTCACAGTGCCTCCCTTCAGTACTGATGATGAAGAAAATTTAGATGAATCTTTGTGGCTTACCTAAGGAGAAATACAGAATACTATCAGATAGCCTGATACTGTTGTTAAACTGTAAAAATTCTGGAAAGGTTGAGTACATTTATTTTTCATCTGTATGAGAGATGGAGATGTCCTCTGCATCCTCAAGCCTGAGAGAGGCAGTAATGGGTGACTTCTACAGTTCATCTTATGTCCTGTAATTGTCATCTTTAGTTGATTGTGTTGCCCCATATGCATAGCTATTTCAGAATATTTCCTACCAACACAGAAAAGATTCTTAAAGTGCTCAAGCAATTAGCAATTCATTAGGGACATAGCAATTTTACTCAAAAATCTATTTTTTTGAGATAATGAAAAAATTAAGGTCTTCTACTGATGCAAAAAATAGTCTTCCACCACAGCAGGTGTTCATACAGGATTATTAAAATAAAGAGCAGTCCCCTCTCTGCTCTATGACTCTAAACCTGGATCTCAATTTTTGGGAAACGAGCTCATGTACTAATTGAAAAACATTCTTTTTTACAGTCTGAAAAATAATACAAAAAGGGCCTTCTAATTACAAATTCTGAATTAAAAAGCACAAGAACTTTTGCTTTGGAGTCTGGTGGATTGACCCTGGCTTCCTCCTGAGCTGGGCAGAGGAGAAGAAGTATAACAAGAGGCTTCTGGGTCAAGATAAGTGCTGGGAGAGATCACTGTCTGCTTACCATCATGGGCAAAACAGACTACACTTGAGGAAATTACTTTAATTTATTACCAATTTAATTGGAGTATGCTAATGGGAAATGAAAACCTGATCTTAAAACACCTTTCTCCTACCTCTCCCTCCTTTCCAGTTTTAAATTTATTCCAAATTTTCTTTCTCTTCTACCCTCCAGCAGCACAGGCAGATCAGTAATGGGGGCTGTGGTCAATACCTCACGTTATCTCTGCAACTCCTTCCTCCTTAGGGGGAGGACTCCTCACACTCTTCCCCTGCTGTAGCAAGGCAGTTATCCACAAACTTCCCCAACATGAGTCCTTTCCATGGGCTGCAGCTCTTCATGAACTGCTCCAGTGTGGGTCCCTCCCACAGGGTGCAGTCCTTCAGGAACAGCACCTCCTCCCACTCCTCCTTCACTGACCTTAGTGCTTGCAGGATTGTTTTTCTCATATATTCTCACTCCTCTCTCTTGCACAAGAAATAGAAGTGTCTTTTAGAAAATGCTTTTCTAGAGTAATTTTGGTAGAGTCTTAAACTTACTTGGAAGAATTACTGCTTTTCCTGGGTTTTCTGTTCTTAGGTCATCTTGGGCTCAACTCACTCAGCTGTTATCATTTTGGGCCCACCGCAGAGATACTTTTGTGTCTGCAGCTGCTTTATATCACATTTGTAGAAGTTCTTTTTCTCTTGTTGGCTTGGCTGGTTCATCTTTCCCATCCTGTGTCTCCAGCTGCTCATCCAAGATAAAGGGATCCCAAAGTGTGCATTTTCTTCCACCTCCCAGAACTATCTACTTCTCTTCTTTCCCACTCACTGTCAACCATTGAGAGAGGTGATGACTCCAGCAATGCCTATTATTGCTAAATTGTTCTTAAGTTCTTGTTTCATCTCCACCTTAGCAGTTATATTACATAGCAAACATTCATCTCTCCTGTTTAGAGCCAAACTCATTTAAGCTTTGAGCACTTTTCAGGTGGTCTAATTAGGCCCTCTGGACCCAGTTAAAATCTGTTCACGAATGTAAAGTTTAAGCACCATCACAGCAAAGTTGGGTTTTTCTTCATCTGTTATATTTTTCTAAGGCAGCAGTGACATTTATGTCTGCAAGGAACCAGGAGATAGTTTTTTATTTCTAGGGCGTTCCCTTTTAAACTGTGAGCAGGGTTCTGAAGACCACCGGTAGCACTGGTTTGCTAAAAAAAAATTTTGAGGAAAGACATGTTGGAGAATGGAATATAGCAAACCTTTTACCATGTGTGCTTTTGAAATAGCCCTCCAAGTATTTAAATTGTGTTTCCTCAACAGTGTCCAGGGACTGAATCACATTTCAGCATGTGCAGAGAATTTCATTAAGATTATAGGCATTAAAGGAAACATCAGCAGGAAGTATGGATGCAAGTTGTTATCTCGTGCATTTTTAAATTACACATTTTCAAGTGATCAAAAGAAAACATTCAGATAAATACAGAAAATTATCTTGGTTTCAAAAGTAATTCCCCAACTTTTGTTTTAAATATGTATCTCCATAAACATTAAAGCATATCTGTGAATCTAGGATTTGCCAGTGCTAGTAAGGTGACATGCATAAGCCTGTAGGAGATCAAGAGGCCTAGAATTCTTGTATATTTTACAAGCCACTATGTAATGTAGAACACATCTTTGTGGTTTCCGAGACTACGTTCAATAATAATATTTTTGTGTTTCTGTAGTGTATTTGAGGATCTCAAACCACATTACAGGCATCAGTAAATTTAGCTTTGCAACATCTGTGTAAGACACTATCGTCTATGTTAAGCAGATGAGCCAGTTGAAATATGAAAGATCAAGATATGGCATGGAATTGTGTTCATAGTGAAACTGATACAAATATCTTCATGAATCTTTATGGAATTAAGCTTTTGCCATGGATCTTAATATTACGTAGGCAACTGAAACATTTAACCTTCAGAGAATTTCTAAATAGTTGTTTAATCAGTGAATATTAATATTGTGTCTTTTACTTTCACATAGAATACAAAACTGTTAATTTCTATTGCTCTGCAAAGAGCCTGTTATCATTTACTGCATTTACTGCCCTAATGCTTTATCTTAATACACAAACACTGATCATCAATCTATATAGTTCTAGGTAAGTACATGTAACAGAGTTCTTAATCAAATTTCATTTTCTTTAGAATGTACTGTGGAGATTTAAATTCTCTCAACTCAAAGGCTCTTCAGATGATGGAAAAACAAAAGTGAAGCTGCTTTTTCAGAATCTAGACACCAAACAAATTGAGACAAAGGTAAGCAGCATCCCTTTTCTCTGTTTTGTAAAACATGAAATAAAATTATGGTCAAGGCATCAGGAATTCCATTGCTACTGCACATACATATGGTGAACACATCACAGCTTATCTTTTTCTTCCTATTCTTTAGAAACTCCAGAAGAAATGGAAGTGATGGTTTATTGTACTGTTTGTATAAGCCTGTTATTAAGTTGTGCTATGTTGGTAATTTACTCTTCAGAAGGATAATTTCTGTGAAGTTATTCCATCAGCTATTATAGGTATAATACCTCAAAACTGCATTTAAAAAATATAAAGGAAAAATTAAACTATAAATGTTAAATATGTTTTTAAGCTACTACGTAAGTGGACTTAAATTTTTGAACACACATATGCTTAAGGTTCACTAAAAATATAAAAGATTGTGTAACATTTATTAGCTTAAAAAAGGGAATATTCTTGCAAGAGGCCAAGAAATTGCTGAAACCTATTGGTTCTTCTGTGAATTAAGAACACTCGATGCTTTGCAGTATCTGGAATTGTGGAGATATCCAGTCACTACTATAGATGAGATACTAGTAGTGTCTTTTTTTTTTTTTTTTCCCCAGCAATTATCCAATAAAATTGTGAAACTTTGAATTCAGGTTCCCAACTGAATTTCAGGTGTTTCTCATTCAGGACTGTAGTCATTTGGAGATTTGACTGTAACGCCATAATCTGCACTGATTCTGCCCTGTGATCCCAACCTTCCTACTGAATAAATAAATAAATACATAGATGATTTTTCAATCATGCAGTTTTTAAAAGAATGAGGAGAACTTTGATTTGATATGACAGAGAAGAGGAAGGTAAGAGTGAGGTTCAACTGAGTTTTGGTGGACAAAACCAATGAAAACAACAGAAAAGTTTCTGAAGAACTGTGAAAATTCTCAAATACTCTTAGCTGGAGTTGTACAGGTTATAACCACTTAAAAAGTAGTATTTTTTGTAATGACCATACACAAAAGTTATATATTACCTATCCTTCTAATGGTTAAAAAAAGTTGTAAAGAAAAAATCCCTAAGCTTTCTTGTTTATCATAAAGTTACAGCAAATACATCTTTATAGATCTGCATTAGTAAATTATTCAGGATTTCATCAGCAAGCTTAACCTGAGTTGTCTCTTAGCTCTACTGTAAAAGATATTATATCTGTTAAAAAACTTGCAATACTAAAATAATAATCTATAACAGCAGCCCATTTCCACTTCATTTCTCACAGTATTCCTTGGAGACAGAAGAAGACTATTGTCCTCATTTTATACGAGATCATCTGTTTGCACAGAGCTTATGTAACTTGTTTCAAGTCAGACAGGAAGATTGTACTGGTGCAAAAACTATAACATGTATCTATACATGTAACTATAATGTATATTAAATCATTAAATCCATGTGTGTGATTAGCCAAAGGCTGCAATTCCATTGCTTGTAATGGAATTTTATTACTTTCTTACTAAACCATTCCTCTTTCTGTTGTGGCAAACAGTCTGATTTTTAAAATTTTATTTTATTTTTATTTTTGTGCTCCCCTAAATTGTTTTTAATTTTTTTACCTGCATTTTGCTCTTAATATTAAAAAATGTAAATTTTAGCATTTTATGAGAATTTGATTATCTGTAAAGTTATTATAAAGCTGAGTCCTTATGATAATTTTACAGCAAATTTTGTTCGGAGGACAGATTTTTTAAAATATTAAAAAAGTAATTTTTTACATATTTCTAATGAAAACATCTTGTGATTGGCAAAGTTTTCGTGAATATTTGTGAGGTACCTTGAAAGTATAAGATGGAAGTTGATATGTAACGGTTCATACAGAATTCTAGGTAACTAATATGTAAGTAAATGTATATATGTGTAGTAAATACTGGAAGATCCCAGAAAAATCTCATTAAAGGCCAGAGGGAAGGATGACACTAAGTAGCTGAGGATTTATCAGGATTTCAGTGATTATACCTTTTTACCACTGCCTCTGCACAGTGCAGTGTACCCACTAGGATTCACAGTAAATGGGACTGGGACACAGCTGTGCAGCCTCTCCACTTGAGATAACTGGTACGTGTATTCAAGAGCATACCCACCACCTAAATGGTATGATTTCTTAGGCTTCAGAGTTGGAAAATACCCAACACTGATACCCATAGTACAGTACAGGATCTGCCTCTGCTTATGGCGCTGAAAGAAATTACATAGAGCCAGATGGTGCTATGCAGTGAAATGCAGCCAATAATGAGAAACAAAAGTGTCATCAAATAGTAGAAGTTTAATTTTTCCTGAGTAAATGAGCCACTATGTACAAAATAAAGCTTGATGCAAATGACTTATGTTCACTTGGCAGAAGACAGTAGAGTTAAGGTTGCAAGAGAATTTTCTAGATTATGTCTAATTTTATATGCTTATAAATTCTTGGAGGGAAAAAAGATCTCATTTGGGAATTCTGTTTTTGTACCTTGGTTACTAGCTAGGGAGGATGATTCTCCTCCTTCTATAAATTTTAAACCAAGTAATTCTTCCTTTTCCTTTCAGTTTTAGGTGAACAGTACAGTCTTCCATTTTAAAAGTTTTCTGTTCAAAGGAGATAATAAGGCCACAATTCCTGTCATTTTTCTCATATTCCCTACAATCTTTACTCATAGTTTCCCACTTCAGTACTTCCCTGAATTTACCCTGCCTTTAATATTGAGAAATTGGAAATAATCTTAGTAATAATAGATGTTCTTTAACCTGAATTTTAAAGATTCCTTTAAAAAAAAAAAAAAAAAAAAAAAAAAAAGAGAAAAAGTTAAAAATTAGGACTAATACTTCTAGGTTTGTACTGATGCTTTATCTCCCTTAGCTAAACTGTAGCTTCCTGATGATAAAACTTTTTTTCCACAAAAATATTTTAATTGGGCATTTCCCTTTTCTTCTCATCTCAGTCTCAAATAGTTATTGAAGAAAGACCAGAAACCATTGTGTCAATGGAGTATTGTGAGCCATATTGAAACCTCATCTAGATGTTGCTGGTCTCATAAACTTCTTGTCTGTTACATGAATAATTTAAGAACCCTGCATATTTAACTGAGCACATTCAGTGTATTTTCTTTGCTGACTTCAAGCCTCAACTATTCTGTAATTTCAGGTCTGATGTGACTTTGCAATTAGACTGCAGCAGTTTTGCAGTAAATCCTTTGCAGTAAATCCTATTCTCTGAAAGGATATTTATTCCATATTTATTCCATATTAGTCCTCTTAAGAGATATGGCAAATAAGGAGAGTGCAAGCAAAGCTCTCACTTTACTGCAACATTAATCTCTATTGTCAGTAAACCATAATGTAGCACTCAAGCCCTTCTGTATTTTTATTAACCTGTGTCTTTTCTTACTGAATTCTGTGTGTTTAATACTGAACATCATGAGATCTTGGAAAACATTTGGACCATAATGGTAGATAATTCTGTTTGTGTGACAGTATTGGACAGCCTGATTGCTGTTGGAAATTTATTTTAATATTTGCTGAAATGAGTGAATTTAATTGGCTTCTTTTAGACAAACATCTTTTCAGAGGAGTTTCTTGTGCATTAGCAAAGTCTGCATCTGCCAGTGCAACATTTACAAGTGTTTCATATTTAGCACTACATAGTGGCACTTGGAATCACTCAAGCTGTAGGTGAGAACCCATCTGATTTTCCAGATCCCTGTAGAACACTGTTAAAGGACTTAAGTACAATTGAGAGAGTTGCAATTATCTGGCACTGAGTGTTGGCATCACAGATCTAGTACTTAGACTTGCAGGGTAAGAGCAACATTTTAGCTTATCCTTCTGCTGTTTGTGCAAATGACAGTCACAAAGAGAAGGCCAAATAAAAGTTTGTAGCTGAAGAAGCTTTCATACTGTAGATGACAATTTATCTTTGAGTGTTTATAACAATCTTAACAAGCTGTGCAATAGTAATACATTTATTCGTCTCATCTGTGATACGGCAACCAAGTCCTGGTAGACTTGCTGAGATATGAAACTGAACTTAGAATTTTGGTTTCTATTTTGACTTCAACGTTTTCTGGATCTAAAACTTGGATATCTTTATTTTTTTTAACAAAAAAATATTGTTATAATTTCAATCTGATTGAGAAAAAATATGCTAAATAATACAGTGGTAATATTTGTGCTCTTGTCAACAACTAGTAAACACTGGGGCTAACCAAGTCCTTAAAGAAGTCATGAAATGCACAGGGCACAATAACACTATCTGTCAGTGTTTCCATTATTTGCCTTTTATGTGATACAGGGTCATGTTTTGTTCAAATAGTGATTCCACAGCTCTCAGAAGTAATCAATAAAATTGTGTGTATGGTAATAATGCAACAGGCCTGTCAAGCTCTTTATGATATGTAATAAATCCAGCTCTCCTAGGTGGGTGGATGAAACAAGAACATACATTTTTCTTCCTTGGCTGTGCACCATACAGTGATGGAGGTCAATGTAATGTGCTCATTTTTCATATTTTCAGTACCAGCAGGAAGTTTTGCAGTCTTGTCCTCCCACTCTTTTAATCCAATCTTTTCTGTTCCTCTCTTGGTGTCTTCCTTCTAGTGCCTTTGTTGTACTTAATCCACTTATTATGATGCATAATAAATAGCTGAAATAGCTTTGGTTAT